TATTGCATTCAATAAAATTTATGTTTATATATTGTGTATGAATTATAATATATGTTTTGCAATAGGTTTAATTATATTTTAATTTGTATTAAAAAGTTATAATATTCGACAAATATATAAGCACATCTGTGGGTATACTTATACTCAGCGAGTTGAATGATAAGGATAAATTTTTAATACCTGAGTAAATATTAAGTATCAAAATTTTCTATCTATTAATTTTTAAATTAAATACAAATATAGACAAATACTTCACATATATACTTGCTTAGCCCATCTATGTACATAAATAAAATCACAAATTATGAACTCACTTAAACCACCCAAAACTCACAGTTAAAAAGATACTAATTGGTATTAGGAATTTTTCTTTTTCTAGTTATAATCGTACCTTAATAAAATTCAAAAATTTTAATCTATTTCCTTTCTTAAAAAAAAGAATTAAATTCACTTGATTACCGACCATAGTTTTGAAAAATATCCCTTTGATTGACTCAATTAAAAAGTTAATAAAAAGAGATAAATAAACATAGCTAATAATTGAGAAAAAAAAGTTGGTACAATATTCATGTAAAAAGAGATTAATATGGAATATAGTGTGGCATTAGTGGATTCTATTATAGCCAAATTGAAGAAAAGAATAATATAAAAATATATGTTAAACATCAAACCGTTAAGCTTTAAAGGTTAAAAGTGATGGTGTTAGCCATGGAATGGACGGAGGGATGAAATTGATTACTTTTTGAATAGTAGAGGGAGAACATGTGAGCACAAAATGAAGTAGAAGGATGACCTGCGGTGATTCCATAGTACAAGGGTTAAATTGAACTTTTTCACAAAGCAGAGAGACGACAATTGACTTTAACCCAATTATAACCCCATTTCTGGCCCAATAAAAGTCTAATGTGCTCCTACTTTATTTCTATTACGTTTAATTTAAGCCGAAATACTATATGGTAAATTGTGATATAAAACAAAGATTACATCGGAGACTAGATATAAAACCAATACTGCGTTGGAGAAGACTGGATATAAAAAAGTTGATAATGAATTTTTTAGGCAAAACATGCAGATCACCCCCTTAACTCACCCACTGGTGGCAAATCACCCCCTCAACCCACTTTACGCGCAGACCACCCCCTCAACTCACCTGCAGTGGCAAATCACCCCCTCTGTTAACGCCGGCTCCATCCTACCGTTAGCTTTAACAGTTCGTTCACCCACCCCTCTTTTGTGTCTGATGTGGCATTTTTGTGCTGAGATGGACAAGCCACTTGGACAAATACCCTAAAATTACTTTTATGGTCTTAAAAGTAATCTGATTACGCACTGAGGTTTCTACTTGTTCAAAATACAGAACACGCACCCACACCATCTTCACAGTTGAAATACATGGTAATAAGAGCATTAACCACAGAAGCTCTAACCAGGAACCCAGATTTAACCACCAACGAATGCATCTGCCTCCCAAAATCCACCATCTCCCAAGAACACACACTCAAAACACTAGCAAAACTATAATTATCATGCCTAAAACCCAAAGAATGCATCTCCTTAAATAAATTAATCCCAATCTTTTCATACCCATTTTCCGCACACCCAGTATTCATTGCATTCCACACTGCCACATCCTTTTTCAAACATTCCATCAAACACCTCACAGGCAAACCCGACATCCCCTAACTTCGTACAGGAGGACAACAATGTAGTCCAAGAATACACATCTGGGTTCTCAATCTCCTCAAAAACCCGTTTGACAAAAACCAAGTCCTGCCCTTTCACATACAGAGAGAGAAGAGTGTTCGAGACATGGGAGTACGTTTTATATCCAGCCCATATAGCATAGGCGTGAAGTTTGTTTCCAAAGGCGACATCCCGCAGTTTTGCACAGGCGGTGAGTGTGTTGGAGAGGGTGTACTGGTTTGGCTTAAGGTGGAAGTGAAGTGATTGAATTTCATCGAACAGATAAAGGGCATCTTCCTAGTGCGTCGAGCGAGTTAAATCAACAAGCTGAGAATTAAGCCTGACGAGTTGACAAAATACCCTAAAATCCTCAAAATATCTTGTTTTCATTGACGATTCAGAGCTTGACGAAGAAGCCATGCTCAATGAATTACAAATCTTTAAAGAAACAATGTTCAATTTTTGAAAGGACGAAGAGGGGAAGAAGACGATAGAAGCTAGAAAAAATAAAACCTTGGCAAAAATAAAACCCCAGATCCCCAAATCCCCAATTTTATTTTCCTAGAATTCAAGGCCATAAAATTAATTTTAGGGTATTTGTCCAGGTGGCTTGTCCATCTCAGCACAAAAATGCCACATCAAACAGAAAAGAGGGGTGGGTGAATGGACTGTTAAAGCTAACGGAAGGATGGTGCCGGCATTAATAGAGGGGGTGATTTGCCACTGCAGGTGAGTTGAGGGGCTG